TGTCTATCAGAGGGCACAGACAACTGGGAAAATGCAATAGAGGCTAAACAAGTCAAATTGAGTGAACGAAGCCTGTCCACCGTAGATTGGCTGTTAACCTTGTGTCTTTTGCTAATTCACCTATGGGATAAAACAAAAGAATTCATACTAGTGGTAAACCCTTTAAAGATGTGGGACATACCTGATTTGTGGAAGAAACTGTTGTACATGCTAGGGACAGTGACAAGACAGCCCCCCAAGCATGTTACTTTTCAGCCTATCCCTATAAACAGACTGGAAGCTTGGCAACTGCAGCAAAAGCATAACAGGCCCATGCTGCTGTGTAGAAGGGGAAACTGAGGCACACCACTTCATGGCATTGGTGGCTAAATGTCAAGACACCTCTACTTTAACGGATATTCCTATCTGCATTCTGTTAGCACTACTACACCCCAACCTGTTTTCAGGCATCTGGGGACCAGGAACCCCAAAACTGGCTAGAACCCCTAGGAATGACAACATATGGTTTCAAGTTACTGAAAAGGAGTGTGACCAAAGACAAACAGAAATTTTACAGGTACTACCTCCACCATAGACAGTGTCCAAGTCTCTGGCAGTAAGCTCAGGGGGAGGATGTGACGGTACCTCCCATAAGGCTTTATGGGAATATGACATAACTGGAATATGTTTTGTGCTGCCTATGCCATGTAACATATCTCTGTAAAGGTTATGGTCTACTATATCTATTCATCCAATTTGTACACATATATCATTTTGTACTTGAGGTTAAGAATATGGGCTGTATGCTTGCTTGATTTCTAAGTAAGCTTTGTGAGGCATTTGGTCAGCTTCTTTAGGAAGGAATTTGCCAGGTTAAGTACAGGATCAGGAAGCACTTGGGGAACAATGCATCTTGGAATGCTCCAATCCACATAAGAAGTCTTCCTGGAGACATACAAGAGACCATGTGAACAATGGCTTCTGCCGCTAAAGACTGTGAGTCATGCATGGACATGTGACTTGCCCAGGTGACTCCAGAACTCCATCTTGGAGCTGGACTTTGCATAGGAGTGAGGAGGGGGGTCTCAACCCACAAAAGAAAGTCTATTTAAACCGGTGGGAGACCCCTCCATTTGGTCTTCAGCTGGCTAAAGAGGAAGCTCCTTACTGAAGCTTAAGGGGGGGGGGGCGTAGATTGGTCATCTCCTAGTTCCAAAAGAAAGGGGAAGGGCCAATGAGAAATCAAGATCCTGAGACTGACAATGGGGAGGGGCCAATGCTTTAGGTCAGCCTGATTGACAGGACAAGCAGGCCAATGAGGGAGTCAGCAGGCCGGGGTCCCATCCTCTCTGTGAGCTGGAGCTGGCCTGGCCTGGCCAGAGCAGGAGGCACTAAGGAGAGAGCAGCAGCAGTGCTGAGGTGGAGGGAAATTGGAGCAGTCCGGAGCCAGGAGCAGTGAACGAAGGGGACCCTGGTCAAGGAGACACCCTCAGCCAAGAGGCCTTGCAGGCCAGACTGGGTGGGGGATCAAGACCCTGACAGGAAGAAGCTGACACTAGGAAGAAGGGTCCTGACACCTAGAACCTGAGGGTATGTGGCCACCACCAGAGTAAGTGTTTGACCTGCAGCATCCCCGCAGCACAGTCAGGGACATATGAGGAACAGACTGTGAACTGCCCTGACGTTCCAGAGATGCTGGTTGTGGTTCCTCCCACAGAGCGGGGTGATGTGTTTTCCTTTAATCTTTCCCACTTTTCTCCTTATTTTTTTTTTAAGTTGCTGTTTAATTAATTGTATTTGTTCTGAACTCTGTGCAATGGTCAAGGAAGCATTAGGGGAGGCACCCCACAATGGGGAACCTGTCCTGAATGATCACAAGAAGATTGGGAGTTGAGCCCCTCAGGAGGCCTGGGCCCAGCCTTGGGGTTATGGGGACCAAAGTAAAAGGGGAGTCCACGAGGTCAGGCAGGCCTCTGGGTGAAGGAAGTGGGAGTGAGGACTCAGATCCTTTCGCTAGCCAATTCCACCGGGGCTGTGTATAAGCCAGGAATGTTCCCCACAATAGCAGGACTGTTCCCCCGTGTACCCAAGTGCATATTTATTGATTTGTCCTAAAGGTAATTAAGTATTTTAAGAAAAA